TTATGGAGAGTTTCAATATACAAGTGAGAGATTTCTGGGACATCATGGTCCTCTTGTTTACATTGTTTGAGCTATTGTCATTTTAAACTCGGCTATAGACCCTTTCATTTAAGCGATAACAGTCAGGGAAGAGTTACTTCCCTTACCGGATGTGACGTAAATGGGGGATAAAACTATGCAGGCCGCATAGAATGTTAGCTTATTGAAAAGTTAAATGCGTAAATACTGACCGTTCAGTTATGATTACAGCATGTAAAAATTAACGCATGCATACATGAATTCAATATCAAGACAATAGAAAAAAATACAAAACCAAAGATTGGGAACGGAGTGAAACAGCGAAATTTCAAAGTGAATATATATATTAGATCTAAATATTCTCTAATGGCAGGATAAAAAGCTAGTAACTAAATCAAATTTTAATATTTTATAAACACCCATACACACTGAAATTGCCTATTTCAAATTTAAATGGCCAGTTTTGCTAGTTTGTTTGGCTAGTTTTCTGTCTAATTTCTGTCATTTAGAAAATTCCGGCGTTTGTGACAAACATGAAAATAAGATTGCCAATGTCTTTTAATGATTGTTTTTCAAGCTTTAATAGAACAATAACAGAATGCGTATCCATATTTCCCTTTTTCACTTTGAAAATAGGGCCTTGTCTGGTTAACCTATTCCGGCAAGTTGGATTTATCGTAAATTTCTCTTAATTGCTTAATTTATTTAATGATATCTTGCATTTTTGGTAGGTGGATACCTTTAATGGTCCTGTAATTTTTTGTGGAGTAATTGGTCTCTAGGGTCAAGGTCAAGGTCACTGGTTTAGAAAATAAATTTAAACATTTTTGCACATACAGCCTTTATTTTTTGGCTGATGTCTTTCATGTTTTATACAAACATGCCAAGGCAGGTCCTCCTTCTTTGGGTATAGTAAGGGGTCATTTGGGTCAAGGTCAATGTCACCAATGTCAAGGTCACCAATGTTGAAAATAGATTTTTACATTTTTACAGGTGTATTAACCATATTCTATAGACAGATGTCATTTATAATTGATAGGAACATAAAATTTGATGGAGTTAGGGGTCAGTTGGGTCAAGGTCACCAGTGCTAAAAATAGATATTTACACTTTTGCTCATACCGCCTTTATTTATTGACAGGTGTATTTCATATTTGGTAGGAAGATAACTTGCATGATATTCTATAGGTTTCAGAGGGTCAAGGTCAAGGGTGCCAAGTATAGATTTCTAACATTTATATATATTTGATAAAGTTGAATATTTATCACTTCAAAAGTCATAGCAATGACTTGGCAACTTATATATTTCACAATTACAAAATGTCATGACTCTGTCAAGCTATATAACTTATGTTTACAATTTTTTGGCAATGTTTCTGTCCATAACTGAGTGAATGGGTAAACATTTTTTGAAATATTGCTACTGACAAGAATCTGAGCCGGGGGCATTTGTGTTTAACAAACACGTTCTTGTTTTTTAAAGAACTTTTATTACTTCTTTACTTTTTAAGGTATCTACTTCAAACTTCAAATATACGTTAATTTCTTATTATTACACACATGTTGTGTTACAAGGTTCATAACTGTAGCGTGACTATTTGCAGAATAGTCCCCCCCCCCCTTGAACTTGGAATTTTTGTTAACAAATGTTATTTTTTAACTATAACTTAATACATTTTTATACATAATTGATTTTCTTTCATAGTTTTGTCTTCCTTACTGCATCCAGTATTTCATTTGTCTCCTGTGACTAGGGTTGGATACCGATAACCGGTACTAAGACCGTACCGAAAACCGTTTGATAATTTTTTTGATAAATACAGTTTCAAAAAGTACTTGTTTTCAAAATTAAAAGCAAAGAAAGTAAACAAATTTGCACAGGAAAATGAATAAAATCAATGAATATTTGCGTCAATAATACATTTGTATCATAAAAAGAATGCAAAAATGACCGTGATCCAAAATGTCCGTCATCCAAGTCAAGGAAGATCACTACCGAGTACTTGCGGTAGCGCTGATTTTCATATATTAATCACTTTAAAAATATTGTAAAGCTTAGACTACAAGATCATTTTTTACAAGATTGGCATAGTACTATTGATACATCCTTTAAGTGTTTAGTGTATCCTGAAAATAAAAATACTCATTGTTTTGAAAAATTTCTAGATGTACTTCCTTTTGACATAGGCAAATATTTATGTAAATTTAGAACAATAGATCACCTATTACCAATTGAAAAAGGTAGACATCTGGCAATTGATCATAATAATAGGCTCTGTGCCTTATGTCCGTATCAAGCTATTGGTGATGAATTTCACTACTTATTTGAATATTCGTACTTTAATGACATGAGACGTAAATCTCTTCTTCCCAGGTTTTACATTCATCCCAATATTTTTAAACTTGACACATTAATGAATAGTTGTGATAAAATAAACATTATGTTAAAGTTTAGATAATTAATACTTCTCATTCTCCGTTTTCATTTGTTTCAATGTAAAATACATGTTGTATTGAATTCAGTACATGATCTCTTTTTTTGTTTATTTAGCTAGTCATAATTATATTGTTATATTGTGATATTAGTGATTTTTGACTGTTATTTTTTCTGTTTGTTTGTTGTTATAACCAGTTGCATGTTACATGCATTGGTTTAATAAAAACTGAAACTGAAACTGTATCTACTATGTATATGTTAGTGTTCATCCGTGCAGTTCAACATAAATTAGAAACTAATAATGTTTCTGATTTCTGTAGAATAGCTACAGATGAATACTAACATATTTAGTGTCAAACTTTACTTGGCCTCATTAATATTTACTTTATTGCGTCACTACCAGTCCGCTTTATATAAACACTAACCTGAATGGTGGGTTTGAATTTGACCTTATAAATATGCATGATTTACGTCACTTTGCGCGCGAAGACTAATGTACACCTGTAATATTAATGACAGCATATGGCTTATGCGAGTTTTCAGAAACATTAATTTTCCGAAAACATTTTTATTGATACTTAGACCAAGTGGGGCCCAGTACTTTTTCAAATTCTCGGTAGATCTCTGGCATGTCGTTGCTGATATCAACATCATGGTGAGTTCTAGAAAAAAGCGTTCTCCGGTCCTAATTTTCTGTTAATTTTCCTGCTGATTTCATGATATCATTGATATGTTGATGTCAAGGTCTCAGAATATTTTATTTCATAAACAATAACATTTTCATTTTCTCAATTTTATCTTAATACATTCTCAGTAAAAGGGATATGGAATATAATTAACATCACAAAGAAGCTTGATAATTACTTTTATTTGATAATAAAACAAAACAAAATAAGATTCCTATAGAAATAATGAATACATAATGAATAAAGCTGCTCAAACGCTTTAAAAGTATAGAGTATCGGTATCTATAAAATACCGTATCGTATCATATTGTTTCGTTCTTAACGATATCCAACCCAACCTGTGACAGTTCTTGTTTTTAGGTACACTCATGTTACAATATAGAATGTATAAAAAATTTGTTGTCCCAACTGTAGATTTCAAACATCTACATCTTACATATTTTGCATGTGACATCTTATGTATTCATATAAAAAGTTATAAAAAAAATTGTCCCATCAAAATTTACCCAGCTCTAGTTAACATTTATTCTGCATTTATTCTACATTGTCTCATAGGAACACACTTGCAACATAGATATTATTAACAAAGCCTTTCAAAAATATTAGGACAAAATATTTCAATTTATATAGTGAACAATGAAATGATGGGTCAGATGAGTGATCTAGGGCCCTCTTGGCCCTATTGTTTATTTTGAAGAAGGAAAAAAAACAATCAGTGTTGTGAAAGTTTATTACAAGAGGGGCAAGTTAAAGTTGAGGTGGACTTGCCTTTTGGCAAGTTCATTTGAAAAATAATTTCTAACACTGAAAAACAGTTGTTTCTGGTGAGCGCCTCAGGACCCTCTTGTATATTATATATATATTTTTCTTTTTTGGAAAAATGAAAGAGAAAACTGTAATCTGACCAGGGAAAAGGAAAGAACACAGTATCATAAATGGAAAAAAGTCCCCCTCTCCCACCCTGGTTTTATTTTGTAAAAAAAAATACTTTAGTGCACATATACATAGATGAACAAAAAACAAATGATCTAAATAAAATCACTTCACCGGACCAAATTAATCTCATTACCGATACTATAACAAAGATTACACTCAATGTAGAAAAAGACCTTAATAACAAGAAAAAGCCCAGAACAATAACTTTATCAACATAACTCTTGGAAAAATACAATATATAGTAAAATATTTATATAAATGAAAACCATACAGAAAATTGGAAATAACTTGGCCACATTTTCGAGTGGAATTTGATTCCTCCACCATGGCCTTAAATAGTTCCCATTATAGAAATTCACCTTGGACATAATTTTTTACAATAATTAAACACTTTTGAAGAGAAAAACAGCTATTTTATAAGATTATAGATATTCTCATTTAACAAAACCCTTGTAAACTCATTAATATTTTAGATTGAAAGAACCAGCAGCTAAAATACCGTACCTGATTTTAAGAGACACATTTGTTACAAAATTACATAAAGGAAACAACTACAGAAGAAAATCTCAACTAACGTCTACATAATTTTACTTATAAAAAATGAAGAATTTTAGTTTCCCAACTAATCTCTTCACAGTAACTATTATCAACCTAAGACTTCGAAGTTAGAACTACATTTGTGCAAAACAATCAGTTTAGTTTAACTTGAACATTTTATCCATGCCGTAAAAAAGGCCATTGACATAGATACATGTATGATCTGTGGTTAAGCAACAGTTGAAACATTTTAATATATGGAAAAATAACTAATCATTTTGAAAAACTCATTTGTATATCTATTTATAGTAACATACGTCACATTCTATTCCGTCTTTTTAGTACTTCAGTAATGATTTTTCTTTGAAATATATCCTTATGAAGGTCTTGAAAGACCGAAACCGGTAGCTCCTAGAATAAACCAGTTACAATCCATCCTGATGTTTGATGTGTATTCTCCTTCACTTGTTAAAAAAACAAATGATATTGAATACCATTATAATGTTGCTAAGTTTTAAGTGAGTGCTGGTTATCTTGAATGCTGGTGATCTTGAATACTAGTTATCTTGAATGATAGTTATCTTGAATACTGGTGATCTTGATTACTGGTGATCTTGAATACGGGTGATCTTGAATGCTGGTGATCTGGAATGTTACTGGTGATATTGATTAAGGTTGCTTGATTTGATGTACTTAATGGTAGTATCTTGTCTATCCTCGAATGCATCAATTGTCATTTCTTGGTTCTACACCATTTTATACACGTTTATATCATTGTTCCTCTCGTCAGATAAAATATTGTATGTACTGAAATAAAGTGTACTGGTCTCAGCACACCAACATATAGCTTGAGGATTCTCCACGTTTTTCAGTATAGTTGTCCTGTCTTTACAATCACCACTAACTCTATATATACAATAACCCGAGTAATCACTCACAAAGAAGGACCCGTCATCTAAAAGTGAAATACCCCTCGGCCTTTCAATATCTACATTCCTTCCTATCATCTCTCCCTGCCAATTAAACCATATAACTTCTTTTTTATCAGTATTAGATACATAGATTGAATGACTGTTTGTGGTGACATAATAAGGTCTACTGAAAATACGGTCACCATTGGAATCTTTCTCAACTGTAATTTTCATATTACCTTTCAAGTCCATGATTTGGAGTTTGGCAGGAATTATCAATGTAACTGCAAGTTTCCCCTGATGATGGCTTATTCCATAGCAGCATCCACCTACTTTCAGTTTGTTTTTCAATGAGAGAGAGTTTGAGGAGAAGGAAATGAACTGTATTATATCAGTGCATAGTAATGTAACAGCAAGTGTATCTCTTGTCACTATGGTGATATCCCAGGGGAATGATTCAAGCTGTAGTTGTTTGATTTCTTCACTGTTTATGTCAATCATTTTGATTGATTGATTATTGAAATCTGCTACAAATAATTGGTTCTGAGGAGAGACAGTAATACCAAAAATCTGGCAATTCTTTGTATCTGAGGATGTTTTAATATTGATGTTTCTAGAGGTAGACAATTTCATTGGTAATGCAGCCTTATTCTTTGATTGAGCTGGCTGTTTCAGTTCCTTTGTATCTGAGGATGTTTTATCATTAATGTTTCTAGAGATTGTCACTTTCATGGGTACTGCAGCGTTATTCTTTGGTTGTGCTGGTTGCTGTATTTCCTTTTTTCTCAATGCTCCTAATGATTTCTCATTCTGAAGAAGTTTTTTGATAGCATGATTGGATTCGAAAGTGTACTCATCAACATCATTGGTTGTTTGTAGTTTTTTTGCTATATTTTCATTGTGTAATATCTGTTGCTGAGCTGTTTTCAATTCAGTAAACAGTTGGTCAGTTTTCTTGTTGGTGTTTAGATGTTTTAGAGTATCAGCTGATGCTTGGAGTGATCTGTTGATGTTATCACATGTTGTTTCTGTTGTTTTCAACGTTTTGCTGTGGTCATGTTGAATTGTTGTTGCAGTATCTTTAACCTCCTTTTCTAGTTCATCTAATCTCTTGTTTATCTCTGTCCTGAATTTCTCTATCTCTGCTATAGCATCTTTCAGAGAAGTTGTTGATTTAACAACTCTTTGTTTCATATCTTTTGTAATCTGGCAGCATTCCTCTGTTAATTTGTGAATATCTTTAAGAGTTTCTTTGAACTCGGTACTGTCTAAAATCTGTCCTGATATATCTGGTATGTAGTCCACATTGCAGGATGTTGTTGGGTGTTCAAGGGTCACGCATACACTACATATAAGTGTATTATGGTCATGACAGTAGAACTTGATCACTTCTTTGGTATGTTTGGTACAAGGCTTTGATAAATCACCATCTTGTGGGCCTGAAGTAGATTTTATTGACTTCCTGAGGTTTTGGTTTTGTGGCATGTGATCTTCATCTAGAAGTTGGTGATGGCGTAGTGGTTTTGGTCGCCTGTGAGTGTTATAGCAAGTTTGACATAAATGTACCTCACAATCAACACAGTAACCAAAGGCAGGTAGTATGATGTCATCTTTGTCACATTGATTACAGAATATGTCAAAATCTTCAGCACCACCTTGAGATAGTATAGATGAGACTTTTTGCGATGACTTTTTACCAGATACAGCCATAGTGTTGCCTAAAATAGAAATAAGAATAGGATACTTGAAGTGGCTTTTTGTTCATAACAAATAAAAAAAAACTTGAAAGAAAATAATTTTCTTTCTTATTCTTGCTATGAATTCATTTCATTTCATTGACGTGAAATTTTACGGTTTTATTAAAGTAAACACAATGACTTTTCCAAAGGTTTATTTTAAATTGTCATCATTTCACTTTTAATTTGTACATGACTAAATATTTTTTAAACTAAGGATATCAAACCCCATTATTATACAAAAATCTGCTGAATTTCTCAAATGGACATGTCTAGCCTCCATTTTCTGAACTGTCCATTATTAAATTGTGGGATATCAAGATTTTAAAAGTCAGTTGTAGCCAAGTAACAAATGCTTCTCACTTTAGGCTCTGGTAAAATTAAACCATTTTAAGGGTATCTGTGACTTTTAAAAGAAAGACACATCGCTGTTGACACACCGAACCCAACAAAATAAAAAAAATCCAGTTTGAGTTGTGGGTGGGGTACCTGAATTGTCTCTCAAGGTTATTCATGTTAAATCATTTTAGATTGATATAATGAAAGAAAATAGTAAACTATTAAAGTTTTAAACATAAACATTGAGTAAATTGATTGGTATATTAAAGTATATAGTAAACTTTATGAAAGTTTTAAACATAGGTAACGAATAAATTTACTCACCAGTGATTTATACTTCTCATTAGGATATTGAAAAACAATTGTCTTCTTAAGTTATTGATCTGACAAGTCAATGCCCGTCTTCTCAATGGTATGTAAACTTGTAATAAAGATAAATTAAAATGATATCATGTTACACCCGCAATAGATATTCAATATATTACATTTAAAGCAGTAGGTTTAAGCCTTTGTTTGGTATAGATAATTTAAATATATGAATAAAAATGCCTGCTTGAAAGAAAATCAATTTAAAATTAATTGCATACTAACAGTCAATTAGAATTAAAAACCCAGTGATCTAGCTGGTTTAAATATAATTTATGTAGCTCTTGGTTTGTTTTACAAAATGATTTCTGTTATAGATATAAACAAAGTGTAAATATCACTATATGTTTGTATACTCATTTTTTAGTATAAATGGGACAATTTTAAATGACATTTTAAAGACTGGTTAATTTGATTGTGTGTATTTGGCTATTTTGGTTGTCATTAAGGTAGTTAGATGCAAAAAAGAAAAACATAATTAATTTTGTAGCTCAAATCGTAAAAGCAACAGTTTACTGTAACTGTTCAAACCAATAATTGCTTTCTGAACAAAAGTTGTTGACCTATATTCCATTGGTATGCGTATTGACAGTTATCCTGATAGACATTATGCAGTTGTGAATCTTTCCCGAATTGGAAAGTACAACATTTGAAAATTTCCTATTTGGGAAATAAAACACCCTTTTTATTTTAGCTCATCTGAGCTAGCTCAGGGTAAGCTTTTAGGATCATTGATTGTCAGTCGTCCGCCCACATTTGTTTGTTGACACTCTAGCCGTCACATTTTTGCGTCAATCATCATCAAACTTAATCAGAATGTTTGTCTAGGTAATTGTACGGATGAGTTTAAACATGGGTCATCTCGGATGAAAAACTAGGTCACAGGAGCTAAAAATAGAAAAATCTTGTTAACACTCTAGTGGCTACTGTTTTGATCCAAATATCCTGGAAATTGGTCTGAAAGTTTGTTATGATGATTTCTAGGTCAAGTTTGATTATGGGTCACATGGGGTCAAAAACCTAGTGGTCACATTTTTTAATCAGTTCGATTCGTCAGGTGTGCGAACTAGGGCCATCTTGGCCCTCGTGTAAATTAAATAGAGGATATTTGTTAAGTTCAGTGTAAGATGGAAATATATATTACCGAGTGAGCACCAAAAGGTATATTTCACAAGTGGCATATCACAAGTGTGATATTTACTTTTGGTGTTCATTTTGATCTTACACTAAACTAAACACATTTTCTTTTTATACATGTATATGCAAAGAAACGTTTAAAAAGACATTTTAACCTCATACAAAATGAAAAGCATGCCAAGTAATAATTCATCGTGACATCATAATTATACCACGTTACGCCATTAAGTTTGTTCCCAGTACTGTGCATGCTGGTATATCACTGAAACAACATAACGGGCTTAAATTCAAAACAGTGAAAATATCAAATTGAGTCATTTTTATATTTCACTGTTATATTTCTATAAACCACCGAAAAGCATGTTATAAATGCCTTTATTACACTACTGCACCATGATTTATGTGATGAAATCATTTACGAAATCCTTACATTAGTTTTGTCAGTATTTGATTTCAGATAACCATTTATATTTTCAGATCCTATATAATCGTACAATGGTACAGTTATGTCTGTGTTCATTCAGACAAGGGATGACCAAGGATGCTCACAATGCACTGGTAGATATCCAAAGTGGAGGTCGAGCTAAGGAACTACTCGCACAGGTAAATGACACAAAAAATCAGGGAAATTAAATAACATACTAAAGAACATAAAATTTCCCTTAAAATAGAAATAAACTTGGCTCTAGATCATTTTTAAAGCAGGCGGAAAAAGAAAGCAACCAGAGCTAAAAGAAAAAATAACCTGTTAAGGAAGTCTCCCCCGAAAGGGTTATTGGCTAATTTTGATGATTCTTATTATCCATCGCTTGAACTGTTAGATAGAATAATGAAATGAAATGAAATATTCTCTGCAATCAGTGTTAAGATACGGAAGTATTTTAATGAACCTAGTACAGAAATTATGTATATATCATCACCAAATAGGGTTTGGGTTACTCAAGCTATTATGATAGCTGCATTGTCCTCGTTGTTGTGCAAAAGCAAAAACTTTAATATTGCCCATTATTCAGAAATTTCAAAAGCTACCAACATGAAACGTGGTATACTTGCTTATCATCACATCAAGTGCAGTTGTCAGACAAGGGACATAATGCTGAAAGCAATATTTTTGGAGTTGTGCCCCTGAGAACTTTATATATGTTTGTAGGGTCTGCTACTACAGCGCCAGCACGAGCGTATCCCCGAACAGGAAAAGATAGAGAAAAGACGTTTACTACCGTACCATATGCACATTAATCTAGAACTTCTAGAATGTGTGTATCTTGTGTCAGCCATGTTGATGGAAATACCTTATATGGCAGGTCAGTGATTTTATACACTAGTTATAAGATAACGAGCTGAATATCTAAATGCTTGACCTTCTGCATTAGTAATTGATTAACCTTAGCCATCTGTATGAAGCCTGGCAATACTGTGGCGGTGTGGCCGAATGGTTCACCAGTCATAAGTTAGTAATCTAAGGATTGCTGGACCAATGGGTTCAAACCCCTTCTCAGACAAGCCGTTGTTTCCTTAAGCAAGAAAAAGAAACTTTACACTCATTGCTTAAGTACTGGTTAGTTCGAGGAACAGATTCGAGAGTGTTTCAATAAGCTTATAGGTTCCAACACAATCAAAATAAAATAAATTTGTATAAACAATAAACTGATACTGTGCAGTATGACCATGGCCTTTGCTGTTGGCTGATTCACATTAAATTTTCACCTTGATGATATAAGACTGTTCGAGAAACAGAAGTTGGCAAGTACATTTCAGAAATTCAGTAATTTATTGGTTAACCATACTTCCAAGTGTCATTAATCATATAAAATGTTCTCCTATTGCAGCCTATGAGATGGATGCTAGACGTAGAATGATAAGTAAGAATTTCCATCATGTGTTACGTATGAGCGAGCGTCAGACACTGACCGGACCACCGGAGAGCATGAGAGAACATATTGTAGCCGCGTCTAAAGCCATGAAGACTGGCGACTGGAAAGCTTGTAAAAACTTTATCATCAATGATAAAATGAATTCTAAGGTAACCATAGTTTCACTTATCATTTACGTTTTATGTATTAATCACTTCAAACCACTTGCCCCTCACCGCTGTGGGTTCGAATCCCGACAGGGATTTCGGATTCTTTCATGTGAGGAAGCTATCCAGCTAGAATACGGAATGTTAGTAATTCTACTCAGGTGCCCGTTCGTGCCTGAAATAATGCACGGCAGGGGATCTGAGGTCTTCCTCCACCAGTAAAGCTGGAAGGCCGCCATATGACCTATACTGTGTCCATGTGACGTAAAACCCAATCAAACAAACAAAAATTATGCACTGCTGCTATCAATTTGTAAATCAATTTTCATTTTTTGTCAAATAAAGGTAACTAAAGGTGTGTCATAAATTTGTCAATATGCAATATAACCCTTGTCTAATGGCTTGGGTTATATAACATAAAAAAACCTTTATATGTTAAATGATCAGATGTATGGAAAAGATATATTAAAGGTTTGAAAAGGAATATTTCAAATAAAAATGCATGTTCTCAAGTTGAAAAGTCACATTGTATTATTTGTGCTACAACTCTTAACAAAATCTAAAAAAAATTGTAAGAGTATTTATATGTTTTTGTTGACAAACAAATCAGGGGTAAACATATTTGTTCATTCCATGGCTAAGTAGATTTAATTTAAAAAATCTTTATTGATAAGGAATAATACATGAATAAAAAAAAAGTACAATTTATTTATGATGCCAAATTTATTTGTATTCGTAGTCTAAGGTCAAAGATCAATGTAAAGGGTCAATAGTCCCATACTTGACATCTTTAATCAAGTGATGTGAATTTGTGAAAATATATGAACATTGATTACAGTTGAAAAAAATTGCTTGTGTTTCATAATTTACTTACTTGTTTATTCAATTGTGTGTGTCTATGTAGGTGTGGGATTTGTTTCAAAACAATGATGAGGTGCGGGACATGATTGTATGTAAGATACAGGAGGAGAGTTTGCGGACGTACTTGTTCACGTACAGCAGTGTATATGATACCCTCAGTCTGGTCACTCTAGCTGATATGTTCGAGCTAGACGTTTATAAAGTGCACTCTATCATTAGTAAAATGATCATCAATGAAGAATTAATGGTACATGTGGTAAGTAGTGTAGTTTGTATATAGACATCCCATTCATTATTTCCTGTTAAAGGATTCAAGCCCCTTGTGGCTGATAGGTTTCCTTTAAGGGTGGATGCATAATAATTGCAACCACCGTTTATCCCTGCGCGATTGTAAGAGTCGACCAATTGGCTTTGAATTACTGGGAATTACTGCAATTCTTAGCTTTAGCAGGTGAGGTGAAGTTTGTAACATCCGAGGATAGTCAAAATCATCTTTCCTGTTTTGGTGCCATATGACCTAAATTGGGTTGGTGTGCCATAAAAGCAAACAAAAACCAAAAGGATTCAATATTTTAAACTTGCATATCTTAAGTCATTTGTAAAGAGAGGTTTGATATGTTTTTGTTCACGTATGTGCAGGCTTGCCTTACTTTATACTGGTGGCAAAGAGACTTATCATTTTCTTTATAATACTGCATGTTTGTAATGTCGCTTTTCATCGGATAATCCTGGCGTTTATATAGTAATAGGTACATGGCTGCTGTCAATTTACGATGAAATCTCACTTTTTTTCTCTAAAAAAAGAATGTATGCAGTATTATACATGTAAATCCATTATAAATATTCCTTATTAGGTTATAGGACTGTATATAAATGGTTGATTGCAATATAGCCCTGACCTAGCTGCTTGGGTTATATTTCAAAACAACAAAAATATATAGGGCCATATAACCTGTCAACAATTTTTTATATAATTAATATTATAAAACAGGATCAGGGTTAAATTTTCCAAAAAATACGTGAAATGAAAATTGTGAAACTATTATTATAGTGAATTGGTATTATGTATGGAAGAACTGCTTTGTTTGTATTACCGCATGTTCAGTACTATTTCTTAAGTTGTTAAAGATAAAAACCAATATAGCATGCTTTTTATCCATTATCAAACATTAAACACATGTAGGACATGTAAATTATTGAATATATTTGGTATGCTTTATTATCTATATACAATCTAACACAGTTTGCATGTCCTTTTCGATTCATCAAATTCGTACAAAAGCATCTTTAAGTAGTATTTCGCAAACACATTTAATGAATAGTTACAGTTTTCTTTTACGTGAATTCTTTTGCATAATATTTCAATGACAAACGTAAACACTGATTATCATAGTAAAATGCCCGTTTGCACTAATGCATTCTTTAACTACATGCCATGACAAGAAAACGTTATTACAAACTAAAATCTTCATGTTATTATGATAGTTATCAACTGCCGAATCAGCAATAATTTATCTATTTTGACATTTTAAAATAATTCCATTACAGTTCATTTTTAAAAGATTACTGGATTTGAATTAAACATGCAATAAATGATAGTGTGTTTGTTTCAGCGAAACAAATTTTACATCTATAAGTGAGAAGCTGCAGAAAGCTGATATGACATTTATGACTTAAAATGGTGTAAATCAGTGTCCGTCTTAATAATATATTTGTAGTGGGTATCAATACATTTTTACATTCATAAAATAATATCCAAAAGCACACTCGATTATGAATTTTAAAAAGTCTTAATCTAGATAAGTTAAGAATAATGACAGAGTAAGGAACAAGTAGAAATTTGATAGTAAATGTTAAAACAACAAGATTTTATCTAAAATAAAGAAAATCTGAAATAATTATTTTTTAAGATTATACATTGTATAAGTATACAAAAGGAAATTCGTTTTAATTTTAACGTACAAATTCTATGCAATAAAATCTTATTGTTACGCGTAATATCAGAAATCTATAAAATTAGATTTTGTATCTGATTTGTCCGGAAGGCAAACATCCTCATTATAATAATGTATATTCCTTACCATATCGAAATAAAATCATATATTACTGTTAACGGAGGCTTTCTCCATATACATTATATTATATAATTTGCTCATCTTTATGACAGGCATATTAAGATGCCTTGGTGAATGGATAATATTTTCTCAATATGTATTATTGCCTCATCCAATCTGCTAAGAATTCATTCTGTTCGATGTAAATAGCAGTGCATATGTGTGTGATACTTGCACTTATATCTTACAAAAATAAATTATTGACTAGGCGAAGCAAATTCCGGAAAATATTCAATTATGTGATATTTGCACTTATTATATCTAGTAATATAAATACCAAGCAAATTATCGTAAACGACAGATTTTGGTCTAAAATTGCACGTTTATAGGATTCCTTTGTCATGAAAATGATAGTGGTAAACACCAAATAAAATAACTGTTATTATTCTCAAACTACAGACGATGCAATATATTGTTCAACGAGCACTTTTCAAGACATTAAAACTTAGTTTTGTTGAATGAACATTATAGCATGTCTGACATACTGAGCCATAACAAAATTACTTACTTATAATATTTCGTTCCCATTATTATTCCAATAGTACTGGAAATATTATTTTTATGTGCAGTTATAACTTTAATTTTAATGTTATTATTCTATAGTAATGAATTTGTCTTATCTGTTTGACATTGGTCATAGCATTAGATTTAGGAAAGTAAGGAATATTTTAAACTTATTTAATCAGTAAATTAACCATGAAATGTGTGGTAGACAACCCTAAAAATATTCAGATGTAGGACTTTACACTAGTGTATAAAAGTCACCAAATGTTTTGATTTCTTTTTTTATAAAAAAAATCAATACTTATTTCTACTTTGCTATAATGTCTAAAAAGAAAATAATCTTTTTTTCAAACATTTTTTAAAGAAACATCGTTTCCGTTACGTTTGCCTGGTAGTTTGAAATGGTGCCAAGTGTCTTCTGATTTACCTTGTTCTAACTTTAGCGGGGATTTGTAATTTTGTTTAAGTTTCCTGATACTTTAGATATTTTTGAAGCACTCCGTGGTGTTCTTTTAACGCACGTTTTAAGAATTGTTAAATAAAAACAAAATACACGTTATTTGCCTTGTCACATGCGCTTTCTGTCGGCATATTATTCGTACAAATAATAATTATGTTGTTGTATTTTGGTGTTTTTGTTTCATACTCAAACAAAACTTGATCACATCATTTACATTTGTGAGAAAATCTTTGTTACGTTTTGCCTTCATGACAATTTAACTCTCCTGTTAGAAGAATGCTGTCCATGGTAAAAAGAAAGTCGTTTTCAGTCCCAACTTCACTTTATATTATATTAACTGATTCTTTCTTTCCAATTAAATGCTTTAAATACGATTGAATGATTGTTGATTTTTTTTTCATGGAATTTAGTTTAACATTTGTTCTATTATCTTATTCTAAACAACAGCATAGTTCCAACAAAAACATCAGTTCAACTAGTCCGAGTAGGATATTTATGATTTAAAAAAAGAATAAAAAAATCCGCAGAAAAGAAGGAAATAAATGTTAAAAAGATGATTTTAAGTTATTAAAAAAAACACTATAGTCTGTCCATTTTTTATTTAATATAATAGTTAACTCATTTAAATTAATGTCATGTTAACCCTGACGTCAATATCTCTAGGCATGTTTTTCATTTTTTTTCATAAATTCAGTAATATGGTCAAAATGTTAAAATTATATTTTTTCCCGTTGACTTACGTTGTAACCTGACGTGACGTCCATTTCAAAATGGCGGCGCCCATATAGACGTCATTTAGGGTTCGTCTCACAATTAGCATGAAATGTACTCGGTAATTATAAAAAAAAATCTTCTTCTTATTTACTTACTGATCAATAGGTGAATGTTATCATTAAAATGAAAAATGACAGCAAAGTTGGTGTCAAAAAGGCAATTTTACTATTAAACCATTATTTAAAATAATCAATTCTAATCATTTGAAGTGAAAATATCAGTAAGCTTTGTAAATTCTAACACACAAAGATTTAATTAATTACCATGATTGTTTGTTTGTTTGTTTGGGTTTTACGTCACATCGACACAGTATAGGTCATATCGCGACGTTCCAGCTTTACTGGTGGAGGAAGACCTCAGGTGCCCTTCCGTGCATTATTTCAGGCACGAACGGGCACAATTACCATGATATATTGTAGTAATTATATATTTTATAAGAGAAAAAGAACAATGAAGTGATTTGATTAGATAGCTTTTCAATCAAGCGCGTATCTTGAATACCGCAACGCGTCGTAGGGGAGTGGGAACACTAGCTAGAAAACAAAAAAAAACGTTCTTCGCTAATTAATGTTTAGTTTACATGATTCTGTAGTTGTCTGAATTCTGTCCATAAGTGTGTATCACGTCTATTCAAAAATAAATAAATTGACCAGGTTCGATAGGATACAAAAATATGTTACCCTTCTAATTTCGGGTGCGATGTTCGTGCGCTAAAACTTTCGGTACAAGAAATCGCCAACAAATACTACATTATCATGCAAATCAAAAATATAAAGAAAGGAACACTGATTCACTTTACGTTCAGCATTGGTTTGCTTGTTACCACAGTGTCTACTTTAACTAACTCCCTCGCTAACAGAGAACACAGACTCGCGTTCGAGGAAAATGTAAAATATAAGAATATAATATCATGCTTTCTAGTTTGAGCAATCAAACGTAGGCCTATACACTTTAAGCTTGAAAATACAGATTTAACTTTCCGTCTCACAATGCAACAAAATGTCCAGAAATACCGGCAGTGATTTGTGTTATTAAGAGGTTTGAATTGGAGTGTTCAATAAGCGATAGTAAGTGGTTTTTTTGTAGACTCAAAGTGTTACATATAATTTTTTTTTTAATATGAAGGGTAAATCGAGTCAAAAAGAAACACCGAGTGACGTTCTCAATATTTTTAGCCTTCCTAAAATTTGAAAATATTCAGTTAAAAAAAAACAACAACAATAGATCTAGCATATTTTTCGCGAGGGAAAAAGACCGCGTAGTCTATTGTATATTTTGTAGCTTAAAGAGTAGGATTTACAGAAGTCTTGAATAACGAGATACTTTGTAGGGAAATTATTTCTGAGAAATATATAGAATAGTTTAAAAACATAAAATCAAAACGAATGTTATATGTAATTGATG